ACCAACTTCTGCCTTTGCCCCTGTGTGAGCTGGAGAGGTTTGTTCTGCCCCTTTGTCCCTTTCTTTTCTATTTTTACTTTGGTGCACCCGTACCTTCTCTATTTTGCAGAATTTGTATCATACCATAGCTTTGTGTGCAACCGCTGAAGCTCAATCTCTTTCCATTAAGAAAATGGAAAAAGACCTTGCTGATGTAGGGAAGAAGTGTTCTAATGCGCAACTAGATATAAAAATTTGTTCAGACACGAGAGATGTATTCAAGGGTCAGCTTACCGCTGCTGATGCCAGAGTGAAAGAGTTGGAGGTCGAGAATCAGCGTTGAAGGGAGTCAGTCTCCACCTGTGTAACAACTGGGAAGCAAATGCAGGATCATTATTCTTCCCTTGTGCCAGTGCCAAGGCCTTCAGATTTGGCTTCCTCCTCCAAGGTTCTGGTGAGAAATAGAAGACACCAGAAGTCTTTGACAAAGATATGGAGGTATCTTTTCCTTACTCCGAGGGTCCAAAGGCTCAAGAGGCAGAGATACTGTTTACAGAGATGGTGAAGAGTCATCAAGTAGGTCCTCAAGCGTCAAGTTCTTCAATTGCTCCAGCTAAGGCCTTAGGCCAAAATGTGGTGGATGCATTTGCTCCGACCCCTTTTGATCCCAAGAGGAAGTAGATTTGCTTTTGGTTGGTGTAATATTTTTTTGAACAAATGGATCTTTTTATTGAATAATATTTATTTTGAACTAATGTAATATGGTCCTCTTATTTTGCACACTTTCTGTATTTTATGCTTTTTTGGAGAATTTTTGTGCTTCTGGAACCTTCGGATTATTTAAGGTCCGAGGATATTTGAGTTCCTTAACACTCTTTTGTGCTTTATATGAAATTTTTTGCCCCTTTGAAGCATTCAGACTCTTTATGGTCTTAAGATATTAGTTATTCATCGGCACTCTTTTGCGCCTTGGAGGAAACTTTGCCCCTTTGGGGCATTCAGATTCTTTTTTATCCGAAGATATTTAAAAAACGAGGCTCAAGAAAGAAGTTCCCCTTATATGTGGGTCACAAATTAAGTAGCCATCACACCATTTGAAGGCCTATTTATCAGGGGCACCTTTCTTGGCATTTATTAATTGCAGGATGTGATTATATAAATTCTTATTTATTTTCGATGTGGGGCAAAGTATTTAATGGGCAACTTTTGCAAAGCTGTCTACCTTCGGATTCTTAAAATCCGAAGATTATTCCTTGGCACTTTTATGTGTCTTAGAGGAATCTTTTGATACCTTCGGACTCTTGAGATCCAATGATTGATATTCTTTGGCATTCTTTGGTGCTTTAGAGGAATTCTTTTAATACCTTCGGATTCTTGAGATCTGAGGATTGATATTCCTCGGCACCGCACTCTTTGGTGCTTTAGAGGAATTATTTTCAAACCTTCAGACTCTTAAATCCAATGATTGATATTCCTCGGCACTCTTTTGTGCCTCAGAGGAATTCTTTTAATACCTTCGGACTCTTGAGATCCGAGAATTGATATTCTTCGTCACTTTTTTGTGCCTTAGAGGAATTCTTTTTGATACCTTTGAATTCTTGAGATCAGAAGATATTTGAAAAATAAGGGGTAAGAAGGAGGTTCCCGTGATAGTTAGGTTACTGATTGGAGATTGTTACACCACTTAGTTATGTGGTGCGGTTTTATCAATGATTCCTTTTTCTTCTTTGTTTTCCATGTGTGACAAATTTTTTGACGGGCCTAAGAGTAGGATATCCATAAGGTGTATTTGCCCCCATTTGGGTTTAGGCCTAATTTCTATATGGCCACAAGCCTTCAGACTCTTGAGGTCCAAGGATTACTATTCCTCGGCACTCTTTTATGCCTTAGAGGAATCTATTGATACCTTTGGACTCTTGAGGTCCAAGGATGTTTGTTTCTCGGCACTCTTTTATGCCTTAGAGGAATCTATTGATACCTTAGGACTCTTGAGGTCCGAGAATTATTGTTCCTCAACACTCTTTTGTGCCTTAGAGGAATTTATTGATACCTTCGGACTCTTGAGGTTCGAGGGTGTTTGTTCCTCAGCACTCTTTTGTGCCTTAGAGGAATCTATTGATACCTTCGGACTCTTGAGGTCTGAGGATGTTTGTTCCTTGGCACTCTTTTGTTCCTTAAAGGAATCTATTAATACATTCGGACTCTTGAGGTCTAAGTATGTTTGTTCCTTGGCACTCTTTTGTGCCTTAGAGGAATTTATTGAGGACTTAAAAATGGGAGGAGGCTAAGAAATAGAGTAACCATGACTGGTTAGTGCCCCAATCGATTGGTTGGGAGCCTGCATTTCATGGAGACTCTTTCCTTGGCATCTACTTATTGTTAGATGTGATTATAATAACCATTCTCTTTTCTTATTTTTATCCGATGTGGGACAAAGAAAAATGAGTTTAATTTTATTGGCCAATGTTTTGGGCCTAAAAAGAGGATTATCGCAAAGAATGTCCTTTGGCTTTAAGGTTTAGGTGTAGTTTTCGCTGGCCACCTTTTATGCCAATAGGCTCTCTTTACAATATGATATCTTACTTGAATAAGCCTATAAATTAAGAGAGGTTAAAGTGCTATTTTATCTGATGTGGGATAAAAAGGCACTAAAATCTTCTTCTTTTTTTTTTTTTTTTTTTTTAGAGATATAGGAAGAGGGGGAACATTTTCAGTGCTCGAGCACTCAATACCAAGCTTGTGTTTTTTGACCTCTTTCTTCGTACAACCATATTTCTTTCGTTTTAAACACGAATTGGGTAATTCTTGAGCCTAGATTGTAGGATTTTGAGCTAGCTATCCAACGATAAACATCACATCCTCTATCTTTGTCTTGAAATGATCATTTTACTCTTAACTTTTGCATTATGGCTGTTTTAACCTTAGCTTCCATATTTATTACCTGGGTTCTTGGGTTGGGCTTGGTTTTGCTTAGTCGATGCACTAGATAATGTGATTTGGGGCGTCACATACACTCAGGAATTATATATACTCTCCCATTTTCTCACAACGTTCACCCTTAAACCCCTTACATCTTTCCTCTATCCTCACTCTATTCTCTATATCTCTCAACCTATGTCTATTTATAGAGTCTTCAAACCTAATTCTTTGTTGGACAATAATTTCCTAACTTGCCTACAAGGAGTTACCATATCCATCACTACTCTAAAATAGCAGTCTAATACACCCGTAACTTCCTTCCCAAATCTTCAGCCTTGCTCCTCAATTTTTCAGGTTTCTAAAACAATAAAGGAAACTATCTCCTGCACATATCAGGCAAGCACACCCCGTTCCACTTCTTTGAATCACCATTCCGACCATTCTGCCCAAGTGTAATCGGTTCCATAAAAGTGAGTTGGAATGTGATTCTTCACAAAAATTTGAGCCACAACACTAACAAAACCAAAAAGTAACATTTTTCATACACAAAAAAGCAAGGAATTATAAGAATTTGATATATATTTATATAGGTAACAAAGAATTAATTCATCTACTAGACATGTTGGACTCTCAGATGCTCAAATAATTTGATTACTTGTAAAGGTTTCATGTATGTGAGGAAAAAAAAAAAACACTTGTAGGAGGGTTGTAACTTGTATGGGCAATGGGACAAACAATTTTTTGTTAATTGTAAAAATACTTTTGAACTAGGCACTTTTTGCGTATTATCCCTAAAAAAATTATTTGACCTTGAACTATTAGATGATGTTGCAATTAACGCGAGTGGTATAACATTCGTTAATATACTAATATCTTTATTGGTTGGACCCAAAAATGGATTTATTTGAAAGAGAATTAATATTTCCAATCAATTTTGTCATAATATCTAAAAGACAATACTTTACTCACCGGTTAATAGATCATCATCCATACTGACCGTTAATATGGTCCAATCACAAAAGCACACTAGTTTGTAATTACAAAATTAGGAAAGCAACATGTAAGGAAATAGAGATTATTAGTGAATTTATTTAAAAAAAAAAAAAAAATAGGGTAAAGTACAAAAAAACCCCCCTGAACTATATTCCAATTTGCAAATAACCCGTTCAAGTATATTTTGTGTATAATACTCCATGAATTATCACATTTTGTTGCAAATTTCCCCAATGCCTAAACTATATATTATTAAATGACCATAATGCCCTTTTTATTGAATTACACTTAATTTATTTTTCTTATTGAAATAAATTATGAAAAAAATTCATACTAATTTCATGACATATTATCCATTTAATTTGCATAAATTTAACTTTAATTTTTGAAATTAATTATTTAAATAAAAATCTTAAGTAAAGTTTTTAAAAATAATTTATAAATTTCTTAATTTTTCATGAATATATTGCATGAAAAAGAATGAATTTTTCATTTAAGTAATTTATTAATATTTTATCAATATATTGTATGAAAAAAATGTATTTTTTTACTGTAAAAAAGTTTAAATTGAGTATAATAAGTTTTATTATAAATAATAAAGTGTTAATAATAAGTTAATATTTTAGAAAATGGTAGTTACAATTTTTTTTTTCTATTTTTATGATAAATTGATACTAATAATAAAATTAAGGTAAATAGTATAATTAATCTTTAGATAAGCGAAATGGTAATAAAAATAATTTAATAAAAAATAAAAAACTTTTGCGATGAATTTGTCCTTAATTACAACAAATCAATAGTTCACGGGTAATTTGTAAATGAAGGAAATTATTTACAAAAGGACAATAGTTAAAAGTTTTTTTTTTTGACACTTAATTAAAAAAATTATTATCCTTATTTATTACTTTTCTTATTTTGTCACTGCAACCTATATATACAATTATCGGACCACATCAGTAGTTAACTGGACTGACCTAGCAAGTAAAATTGTCCCTATCTAAAATTTCCCCTAGTTCCTAATCTTAACCCGTTTCTATAAATGGGCCGGTTCAATGAATTATGAATCCGGTCGGATGATGACCGTCTATAGAGCACTGTCATTAGATACTGTACGACATAATCGTCCCGCCAAACGCCCAGGAGGTTTAAGGTTCCCAAAACCCTAGTCTTCTTTCTTCTAACCTGCAACTCCCAGTCTCTCCCCTCTTTCTCTCTCTATACATAAATATATATATTCGTATATCCGAAGCAGTAGAATTCCCATTACAGGATGAGCTACGCTGCGTACAAGATGATGCACTGGCCGACGGGCATTGAGAACTGCGCTTCCGGTTTTATCACGCATTGCGGTGCAGACTTTGCACCGCAGATCCCTCCGATTCACACCGATGATCTCGAATCGGACTGGCCTGCAACGAAGGCCGTTGGCCCGATTCCCAACCTCGTCACCACAGCTGCCAACATTCTGGAGGTTTATGTAATTAGGGTTCAAGAAGAAGGTATCAACAGAGACTCCAAAGGTCCAATTGAATCAAAGCGCGGTGGCGTAATGGCTGGGGTATCCGGTGCTTCGCTCGAACTTGTTTGCCATTACAGGTTTGTGATAGTGTATTTCAACTTTTTGTTGCACTATTGTTCGACAGATTTTGAAGAATGAAAAATATCAGATTCTAAATTGTTTGACAAATTCAGAAATTTAGTCGTTTTAGTACTAACCAACCCAAATGCCATTACTGGTATGTTATCCGCCTTCTTCTTGTGCTAGGGTTTGACAATTATTTGTAGACGAGAACCCATATAGTTTATTATGTAGTTTCATGAATTAATCAGTTCATTGCTAATATATTTATGAAATAACCATTGTATGTGCGTTTGTTATGTAATTTTTGTGTTGGGTAAGTATTTGTGAATATATATATATATGTTTGATAGATAGTGTTTGTGAATTTTTTACCCCTCCTTTTATTCAAGACCTCTTTTTTATTGCCTTGCAGGTTGCATGGTAATGTTGAAACAATGGCGGTGTTGTCTGCGGGAGGAATTGATGGTAGTAGGAGGAGAGATTCAATCATCTTAGCATTTCGAGACGCGCAAATTTCAATTTTAGAGTTTGATGATTCAATACATGGACTTCGTACAAGGTGAGTTAATGTGTTGAAGTGAATTAATGAGTTCTTTGTAATGGTCCATGCTTTCTTGGTCATGTCCAAACTAACTATACTTTTTATGAAGAGTCATTCTGAAGAATTGGGTAACAAACACATTGATTTGGATAACATAATTGATTACCGTAGTAACTGAACTCATTAGTATCACCATTGGGTTTAAAGGAATACACTTTATTTTCCTTACTCTTGCACTCCATATATCTCTTTTTAAAAATGAAATGACATAATATCATTCAAAAGCAGTCCCATGCTACACAATTATCCGATTTTTTTTTTCTCTAGCTCCACTTTTGGGAGATAATTGTATTTTTCCTTCAGAATAAAAATAAAGAGGAGTGCAAAGTTTAAAAGTGGAGTTTGAATGTCACATTCCTTGGGTTTATATATTTACCTATTCCAGTTAGTAATTTGCTCTTGGAATGTAACTATATGCATAAATTAGAAATTTGGCAATCTAGCAGCTCTCAGCAATTGGTTGATCTCTACTATTAGGCTAAATATAAAGGCTAATGTCTTTCTACATGCTTTGAAAGTCCTTGTTGGCTTTGACTATTGGAAAACATCTAATTAAATATTCATTTCCTGTATTAGTGTAGACAGTTTTTTCCCCTTTTATCTACAGAAATTTAGTGTAGAAACTTGTTATATGGAAGATATATATATATATATATATATATATATATATATATATATATATATATATATATATATATATATATGTATGTATGTATGTATGTATGTATATTTAATACGGTCTGTGCCAAATGGATACCATGTTCTCATAACCGTCTTTTTCCTTTTAATTAGAAACAGAAAATTGAACTGTTTCTTCTTTGATGAAGATAAAGAGGATTCATCTAGTTGGGTTTGTTTTTGTTTTTAATAGGTTTTATAATACAAAAATCTAGTTTCAAGTAGTTGTGTTGTAAAAAGAAATTCAGTTTTATACCAATTTAAAGTTTCACAGAAGGACTACCTGCCCTTAAAAAGGGCAACGAAAGGATACGAAAAAGGAATACAGAAAGAATTGGTGAAATTTAGGACGGGCCAAAATTGCTCTCTTAAACTATTCAACAACAAGGGAATCACATTCTGACTACCCCTTGAATTTTAGTCTGGATTTCTACATCCAATGCATGTTCAACAAACACAAATGTTCTTTTAATACCTGTATCCCCCTCATGCTTACATAGTATTCCTATAAATTTCCACGATGTCCAACAAAACTTCAAGATACTGAGGGAGCACCCTTTCATCTTAATGCTCTGTTTGATACTCGGAAGTAGGTATGAAAGGAAGGAAATAAATGAGTATGTGAAAGGTATCCTTGGGAAGGAAACTGTCCTTGGAGGAAGGAGTTTTACTATATGCATTTCTATATTAAAGGATTGGTTTTACTTGAAGGCCAAAAACATAAAAAAGAGGTTACTTACTTTTACTTTTATGTGTCTAGAGGACAAGTGCTTCCCTTTTCTCATCCGTTTTCTCTTCCTTCCTACAAAATAATGGAAATTCTGTCCATAATGCTTCTTTCCTTCGCTTCCCTCCCGCTACATTATACTCACTCTTTCCTCCCACCAAACGGACATAAATTTAACTTTGCCCCAAAAGTGGCTTCAACTGGTGAACTATGGAGCTTATGGGAGATCCAATTAATGAAGAACCCTTGACTGATTTATTTATTTATTTGATAAATAAGAACCCTTGACTGATAATGGGATAAAAAAGGTTAAGGAATGGCTCTGTATGATGGAGGCGCAAAACAAGATATGATGATGAACGTATCCAGTTACTCTCTCCCTAATGGATTGAATCCTGAACATTGGGGTTTTTTTGTCAATCAATGTAAGAAGATGTGAAAATGAGTTGTACGGTTGGCGCTCACCAGAAACCTTGATCTGCATGAAAGTAGTTGTGCATAATACACAAACACCAGGTCAGTAGAACAAAATGACAGATCCATATATTTAGTTGCAATGGCAGTAAAAACCAATTACTGGAAGACAAACACTAACATGTGAGAATGAGAAATTTTAAGCTTTGGGGAACTGAGACTCATGCGAATTGCCATCTATTTCTGATTTGGTCTCTACACAGACACACCACTAAATAGTTTGGCAAGGATGATGATGATGATGAGGTGCTTAGGAGGATACCCAGGTGTTGTGTACTTAATTTTCTAAAAGTAAATATAGAAATAAAAGGTAAAAAAGATAACAGTTCGGGATTTCCATGGAGCTGGAATACAAGAGAGCGGAGAAGGAGAAGTTTGTGAAATTTAGAATGAGTTTTTGGTTCTGTAATGGTGTGATACTGGTCACAAAATGCTCTCAGGAATATTACGGTGCTGTTTGATTACTCAATTTAGCGCTTAATTTTGAATAGATTAAGCGCCTAATCAATTAAGTGCGTTTCATAATGCAATTTGAATATCACTGAAAATGGTAAGCGCCACTTAAAATGGAGTAAATTTTTAAGTGATAGGGACATCACTTATCATTGAGTGCTGAACACTGATAATTAAAACAAATGTCAAAAAATATTTATTTTTTAATTACCACTTAAAAACTTCAGTACTTAAAATTCAGCTCTTAAAATTTTCAGTAATTAATTTTCAATTTGATCAAACAGAAGTCGGGGAAAATTTTTTTTGGCAGAATTTTTATCCTTCAATCTCCATTTAATATTGTTTATTTGTAAACGAACATTGAGCTAAATATGGCATAATCAGATGGTATTACTTCAACACTTCCTTGGGTGCACTTCCCCTTGAGCTTTTTTTATGAAATTTCACTTATCGAAAAAAAGGCATTATGGCAATGCATTTGTTTTTCCATGGTGAATAAGGCTTATATTAAGCTCTGTTTTTTAAATATAAAAGCTTACTTGGGGCAACGTATATCTTATAGGAGATCTAATCCCAAAGGGAAGGAACACAATTTGACTTATTTAGTAGTGAAGTAGTTTCAGGTCGCTGTTAGGATGGTTTTCCAACCACACTTTTGTTTGTTGATACTTGTTTCAGAGTTGGTTTATTTATTGATACTAATTCATCTTAGGGTGTTATTGTAAATGTTTCCCCTACTGCACTGCCCTTAGCATGTTAGTGGATATTTATATAGGGTACTCAAGGGGCAAGAGTAAACTTTTTTATTTGTCTTTTTCCTGTTAGTTCATTGAGTAATGCTGATCAATAACGCTGTCTTGCCTTTTGCTCAGCTCTATGCACTCTTTTGAGGGTCCGGAGTGGCTTCATTTGAAAAGAGGTAGAGAATCTTTTGCTACTGGCCCATTGGTAAAGGTTGATCCTCAGGGCAGGTGTGCTGGGGTTCTTGCTTATGGTCTGCAAATGATAATACTCAAGGCTGCTGAGGTCTACTACTATTTCTTTGTAGCTATGCTTCTTTTTCAAAGTTCATCTGATTAAATATCGAAAAATTCATTTTCTTAAATTGGTTCTAGTTCTGTCCAAATTCAGGTATCATAATGAGGATTCTGTTTGACGTTGGCAAGAACTAGATATATATATATTTTTAATACAAAACCAGAGAGAGAAAATTATTAGAAGAAAGAAGAATATACAAAAAAGAAAGATGAGAAAATTTTCAGAGGACATAAATGGAATATAATGAAAAACAAATACAAAGCATAACAAAAATGGAACAACTATTGGTAGTCATTTCAACCTCCTCCCACACAAGGTCTCAAGGAGGTGGAATTTGACCCTCGTGGCAGGGGAATCTGCTCTCTCTTACCGTAGTTTGGGATGCAACAAATACCTGTCTCTAAAGAATTTTGCAAAGCTGAAACTCCTTCGTAAGGTGTCTATGAAGACATGGACTGATAGATCATGATCTTACCCATCCCACCACAACATCTGAATCCCATATTCAAATTCATGGACAAAAATTTCCCAAGACCTTACAGTAGAGGACAGATGTCTGCACTAATAGCAAACGCAGTATAAATTGTTCCAGCTTAAACAAAGACCTATGGTCCCAGCAGCTGAGTTACAAACTTAAATTTATGTCGTCCACAAGTAGCTTTTTCTCGGCAAAGGTTTACGGAAATCATAGTGGACTAGGTTTTGAAAGGGTAGAAAGAAGGTTGCAGTTTTTATATTTTATTGAGGGAATGTTATTGAAATTGGCTTGGTTAGACGTGACAAGTTTATGGAATTGCAGATCATCACTTGCAGAAATTAACGACATCAGTTGATTATTGGTCTTGATGTCTTGAAAGGGCCGAGAGGCTAGGAATACAAAATTAGGGGTTGATTGGCACCAAAACAACAAACTTAGAGAATTAAAGAGGAATAAGAAGAGTGAGAATTGTTTTATTTTTATTTTTATTTTTTATAAGAAAGAATGAGAATTGTTCTGGAACCTCATCTGGAGTTCTTATGTTTCAGTCTTCCATCATTAGATTGTATCAACACACCACCAGTTATAAGAGTAGTGTTTTGGGCAGTAAAAGCAGATCAAGAGCAGTTCTTCCATGTAGTTGAAAATTTGAAATGAGAATATTGATACAAATGATAGGAGTAATTAGAAGAGACATGACTAATAATAAACATGTTTGAGAGAATTAGTGTCATCTATTGATGATAAAATAAGAGAAAATAGACTTGATGGAATGAACATCTATAACATTGACAATAGATGCACCGATAAAATGGAAGATCGGTTCAAATAGAAGGTGAGAAATAAAGTGGCATAACCAAAGTAACATGGATGAAGTAATAAAAGAAGACTTTAAGGAATTAAATATATTAGGAGACAGCTCCTAATAGAAAAGAGTGGAAGAAGAGAATTTATTGGCTGCCCCATTTGACTGGGATTAGTTAAGGATGATGGTTATTACATAGGTTTTTGAAGTATTTTTTCTTCTTCTTGATAAGTGATATTTCAATCATATTCCATTAACGGTGTTGAAGAGGGGAGCGCTCCCATAGGAATACAAAGAAGCTTAAAATGACACTATAATTTCAAGCTATCCACAAAATTTAAAAGATGCCCCAAAGATTTACAATTTGCCCCATTGACCCAAAAAAATAGAGTAGAAAGAATATTGTATTTGAGAGACCAAATAGGGGAGTCCTTTCCATCAAAGGATCTCCTATTTCTCTCACGCCACAGACCTAACCATAGATAAAAGGGTGTTGCTCTCCATGCATCCCTGGCTCATCTCTCCACTATACACCATCTCCAAGCCTCTAACATATCAACCGTGGATTCGGGAAACACCCAAGCCATGCCAAAAGCAACCAAGAACAAAGACCACACATCCCTTCCCACTGGTCAATGAAGGAGAAGGTGGTTCCTCTGTCTTTTTGCACACACAACACCATTTCACGACTATCTGAGATTGCTACCAAGGGCAGCTGTTCAAGCGAAAAATGCAACCTTCAAGGGGGCTTTCGTCCTCCAAATAGCCTTCGAAGGGAAGGGGTGGCTTGGGATCACCATCAGACTTTGGTAAAAGGACCTAACCTCAAAAACTCCTCTAGGTGTGGCCACCCTCACCTAGGGATGGCAACGGGGCGGAGTTGGGGCGGGTATGGCTAAAGTCTAAACCCTACTCTGCCTTATTAAAAAATTCGTCATATCAGCTCCGCCCCTATTCTGGGACGGGGTTATAATTTGTATACCATCCTCGCCCCTATTTCGGCACACAAAGTACCAACTTCGCTCCGCCTACTCCGTTTAATTGCGGGGCGGTGGCGGACAAGGTTATGTCTCTTGTATTATTTAGTAAAAAGAGTAACCCAATGTACTAAAACTGGCTGATAAATAAGTTGGTCCAGCTTTTAAATTACTAAATAGTTAATATTATTAATATATTAATTGACACTTCCAACAAAATAACAAGGTTTTAAAAATATTAAATATATATTTTATGTATATATAAATTTCTTAAAGGTACATATATAATAGGGGCGGGGCGGGTTCATTATTTCTAAACCCACCCCCGCCTCCGTCCCAAATCCATTTAGGGAGCTACCAAATCCACCCAATTAGGGGCGGAAAACCGCCGGGTTGGAGGAAATTGTCATCCCTACTCACCATCTCATCCATACCCTCACCCTCCATCACCTGGCAGTGCATAGAGATAAAAAACCTTAGCAATATCACGATCGTAAACCCCTTTACGAAACAACACATCCAGGTCTACTACCCATCATCAAGCCGATAATAGTCTGCCAACAGGGCATGCCTGTTCGTTGAGATTCTAAACAGCCGGGAAAACCTTCGAGCTAGAACAAAATTCCCGCACTACTGATCCTCCCAAAACTTGACGTGCCTCCTACTCCTAACTCTGAACCGAATACGTTTGGAGAACTCATCCCAACCCTTCCGGATAAGCTTCCAAGTCCCCAAGCCCACTCGATGCCGCACCTCCCGAGACGACCACCCTCTATCTCCCTCCCCACTAGGACAAGCGATGACTCTCCTCCATAATCTGGATCTCTTGCTCCTAAATCTCTAAAGCCATTTGCCTAGCAAAGCCTTGTTAAAAAGATCTAGCCTCCGAATCCCCAAACCTCCCTTTTTGATAGGGAAGCACACTTTCTCCCAGTTAACCAAGTGGTAACCATCCCGTAAAAAATTAGTTTTAATTGCATCCAATCTTCGAACAACAGACTTGTGGAAAGATTCACAGGGGTGTTCTTCATAAGAGTTAGCTTTCCCCTTTTCGAAAAGTATTGTTTCTTTCACCCTGCAAGCCTCCTTTTAAAGCGCTTAACCGCAGGGCCCTAAGGCAGCCCAAGGTAGGATAGAGGAAAAGCGCCAACACGACACCCAAGCATGTTCGCTAAATCATGAATCTCTACTAATCCAACAGGCACCATCTCACTCATTCCAGTGTTGATCTTCAGCCCAGAAACAAGTTGGAAGCATACCAAGATGCATCCTTAGAATGTCAACTGATCCACCCTCACATCACAAAAAAACAATAGTGTCATCCGCAAACAACAGATGAGAGACAACTGATTGGGTCCGGACCCCACTGAAAAGCCTTGAATGAAGCCCAAGTCTTCCGCCCTTTTCATCAACCTACTGAAGGCCTCCATGAAAATGATAACCAAGAATGGGGAGAGAGTGTCTCCCTGGCGTAAACCTTGGGAATTAGCAAAGAACCCTGCTGGGGAGCCATTCACCAAAACAGAGAAGCGCACAGACGAGATGCAATGGTGGATCCAAGCCCTCCATCTGTGCCCAAATCCCATCCTCTCCAGCATTTACAACAAGAAGTCCTAACAAATATGGTCATAAGCCTTCTCAATGTCAGGCTTGCACACAATCTCTCGAACACCGCTTCTAACCCTGGCGTCCACACACTCACTGGCAATCAGAATAGAGTCCAAAATCTGACGTCCTCCAACAAAAGCATTTTGGGACTCTAAAATCACCTTATCCAAGGCTCTCCTCAATTGGATGGCTAAAACTTCCGCAAAGATCTTGTAAACAACACCAATCAAGCTAATAGGTCTAAAATCCTTCGCCTCAACCGCTTCACCCTTTTTTGGAATAATGGTGATGAAGGAAGCGTTGAAGCTTTTCTCAAAATGACCATCCGAATGGAATGTGCTGTGAGCTCCCATCACCTCTTTCTTGACCACCTCCCAATTTTGTTGAAAAAATGCCAAGGTGAATCCGTCTGGCCTTGGAGATTTATTGCCATCATAGCTCCTCAAAGCCTCGAGGACCTCCTCTTCCCAAATGGTCTCTCAAGCCACTCCCTATCCTCGCTTGAAATTCCAGCAAACTCCAGCCCATCAAGCAAGGGTCGCCAACTAGCAGTTTTCGTGAAATGTTGTTGAAAGAAAGACACAAAGCTATTACGAACATCCTCTTCCCTGGTCACCGTAACCCCATCAATCCGAATCCTACTAATGTGATTCCCTCTTCTGTAGCATTGGCGAGGCAATGGAAGAATTTGGTATTCCTGTCTCCTTCTATCAACTAGAGAGCTCTGGATATCTGTCTCCATGAGATTTCCTCCATCACCACAATCTTCCCGAACTCAGTTTTGCACTCCTCCCTCCCACGAGCCTCAAAGTCACTGATTGGGAGGTGGTGAAGGTTGAGGTGATGGGGGCAATTGGCTCCTTTTTCCTGCATGGATCGTTTGAGAAGAGTCTCAATGCTTCCTTTATTACTCTTGTCCCAAAAAAGGGTGGAGCAATAGAGGCACAGGATTTTAGACCTATTAGCCTTGTTGGGGCTGTGCATAAGATTATTGCGAAAGTGCTAGCCATTCAACTGAGGAGAGTGCTTGATGGGGTAATCTTGGATTCTCAGAATGCTTTTGTTGGAGGGTGTCAAATTCTGGATTCAGTGTTGATTGCCAATCAGTGTATTGAGGCTAGGGGGAGAACTGGAATTTCGGGAGTCGTGTGCAAATTGGATATTGAAAAGGCTTATGATCATGTCTGCTAGGATTTTTTTTATGTATATGATGAAGAGAATGGGCTTTGGTCAAAAGTGGAGGGCGTGGATTTTTTTTCTCTGCTTTAGTGAATGGATTTCTGGCTGGTTTCTTTGCTAGTTCTCGAGGCTTGAGGCAGGGGGACCCTCTCTCCCCATTCTTATTTATTATTGTTATGGAGGCTTTTAGTCGTTTGATGGGCAGGGCGGGGGAGCTTTGGTATATTCAGGGATTTTCAGTGGGTAGAGCCCCCAATCAGTTAGTCATTTCCCACCTGTTGTTTGCGGATGATACTATTGTCTTTTGTGATGCTAATCTTCGTCAGCTGAGGTATTTAAGGTGTGTGTTGGCATGTTTCCAAGTTGTTTCTGGTTTGAAGATAACTATTGGAAAAAGTGAGATTGTCCCAGTTGGGGTGGTGGAAGATATTCATGTTTTTGTTGATACGCTGGGATGTGGTGTTGGCTCTTTTCCGATCTCCTACTTGGGACTCCCTTTGGGAGCCTCGTTGAGGAGAATTTCTATTTGGGATCCGATTGTTGAGAGATTTGAGAGGAGACTTGCAAGTTGGAAGAAATAATACTTATCAAAAGGGGGGGAGGGTTACTTTTATGAAAAGCAGACTCTCAAGCCTCCCGACCTATTTTTTGTCGCTTTTTCCGATGCCTAAGACAATTGTTAGAAGACTAGATGTTATTCAGAAGAAGTTCTTGTGGAGCGGTTTAGGAGATGAGTTCAAGTATCACTTGGTTGACTGGAATAAAGTGTGTTCCCCTATTAAAATGGGGGGTTTGGGCATTCGAAGGTTGGATGTGTTTAATAAGGCGCTGTTGGGCAAGCGGTTGTGGAGATTTGGGAGAGAGAGGACCAAGCTTTGGAGGCATGTCATCACTTGTCGTTATGGGGAGGCTAATGGTGGGTGGCAGTCTAGGGAGGTTAGATTCTCAATGGGTATGGGCTCTTGGAAACTTATCGGTAGAGGTTGGGATGAATTTTCTAAAAGGATTCGGTTCAAGGTTCAAAGTGGAAGAAATGTCAGGTTTTGGGAAGACATATGGTGTGGGGATTTGGCTTTGGCCCGTAGGTTCTCTCAAATTTACCGTATTGCTGTGAATAGAGATGCTACATTTGCTGATTATTTTCACCTTGATAATGGAAGGGTTACTTGGGATATGCGGTTCTGTAGACAGTTCCATGATTGGGAACTATTGGAGGTTATAGATCTTTTGGCTTTCATCTATAGCCAAGTGGTGGTCGGGGTGGGCATGGATGAGATGGTGTGGGTGGGTTCCTCGAGAGGGGTGTTCGAGGTCAAGTCCTTCTATTTTAGTATGGTGGAGCTTCTTGGCCCCACTTTTCCTTGGAAAGCTATTTGGAGGACGAAAGTACCACTGAAGGTAGCTTTTTTCTCGTGGACAACTGCTTTGGGAAGCATCCTCACTATTGATAATCTTAGAAGAAGAAGTCAAGTTGTGGTTAGCAGGTGCTACATGTGTAAGAAGACGGGGGAATCTGTCAACCATCTTTTTATTCATTGTTCGGTGGCAAGGGATGCTTGGGCTTTGTTTTTGGTTGCGTTTGGTATTCTATGGGTGTTCTCAGAATCTACGGTCGACTTGCTTGAGACTTGGAAAGGGTGTATAGTGGAGAGCCGAGTCAGATATGCCTAGAGGGCTACTCCCCTATGTATATGGTGGGGTTTGTGGTGAGAGAGAAACAGGAGATACTTTGAGGGTGTGGAGTCTCCTATTTGGGCTATTATAGTTTACTTTCTTCTTTATTCTTTTGGGTAAATGGGCGGGATTGTATGTCAGTGGATTGTCTTTTGGATTTTATTAATAGCTTAAAGCTATTGTGTCGTCACGGACGGCGGTTGTCTGTTTTGGGAGCGCTCCCCTTTTGAGCATTTTTATGAAATCGTTCTTATCTATAAAATAAAAAAAAAAAAAAAAAAACGAGCCTCAAAGTCACTAAGGCCCTTTCCCTCTTTCCTATCCAGCTCAAAGATTTCAAGAAGGATTCTGTTCTTGCGCCATTCCAGGTTTCCAAACACCTCCTTATTCCATTTCTTAATATCCCCCTTCAACAGTTGAGTTTGGATGCAAGTTGAAAACTCGGGCAAGAATTTTTTTTAATAATGTGCTTAAGATTGTGTGATCTTCATAAGTCAGGATATGATTCAGTTAAAAGCAAAAGGTGTTCCTGATTTAGGTCACTATCTTTATTTACTATCTACATTGAGGTGCACTAAACATTAGCCAACTTGACATGAACTCTTGTCTTTCTCGATCCAAATTCATAGACGGTAAGCCTGGGCATGATTCAGTAAAAACCGAAAAAAGAATGTCTTTCTATAGTAACTTAGCTCAGAATTGAAGTTTCTGGTTGTACTTTTCCATGATAATATAAAACAAGGTTTGGCTGGTGGTGTGGGTAGTGGTAGATGGTGGGTTGGACTGGGAACGTGGATATTAAAGGATCACTTCATTTGCTTTATAAGGATCCAACTTCCAAGTCAATTTTTGGGAAAACACAAAGGCCTTTGTTTCAGTCTGTTCACTCAAGTATTTTATATTTTATTTTACTTGTTTGTGTTTTGATTACAATTATCGAATTTTGTATGTTAGGCTGGTTCTGGTTTGGTTGGTGACGACAATGCTTTAAGTGCTGGAGGTGCTGTATCTGCACGTATTGAGTCATCATACATAATCAGTCTACGTGATCTAGACATGAAGCATGTGAAAGATTTTATATTTGTACATGGTGAGTATCATCCTTTTACCTTGTCTTTTCAGTTTTCAAGTTGTTTGGGTCTCTGTGCAATAAAAAAGAGCTTACAGTTTTTTCCAATAACCGGGGTGTCTGGGGCTTTGCCCCGACTAATCCATGGGACCCGTGCAAGGCGACCCTCCCACACGGATCGGGTAAGGCTCGGACCATGTCTGCGGTCGTGGCCCCAAGTAATTGCTTGCACCTAAGAGGAATCAAACTTGAGACCTAAAGCTTCATGAGGCTCCAGGGCCCAAGTGTTTTCCAACTAGGCCAACCCCTTGGGGTTAAAAGAGTTTACAGTTAATGCTCATGTTTCAAATGATTTTGCTATGATATCAGTTGTATGAAGAAAATAAATCTGCTGTTGTACTAGTTTCATTATGCATGGAAGTAGAGGTTTTCTTTTCATTGGACCTGCTTATTTCAGAAATAGTTATAACCCCCAAAAGTGCAAGTATCACAAATGACCACTATGGGGATCGAACCCCTCACCTCCCTTTTGATGGAGGAGAGGTCATACCAGCTGGGCTGATGGCCCAGTGGTCTGTGAAAATATATTTTGTAAATCATATTATATGTTTGTTAGCCTCCAATTATTTGGGGCTTGGCCTTGAATGTTATGCCATAATTGAATTTTGAGCTGAGCAAACCAATCTAGGTCTAATAAAATAATTTTGCTTTTCTGTGTATTAATTTAGTATACATAACGCTTTGTAAATACAAATATTCATCATCATCATCGTCCTTGCCTTTATCACATATTTGTATATGCAAATATTTTTATCATAAAATATTGGCAGCCATTTTTGATGACTGTTAATCAAGTGGTCTTAAATGAGGGTTTTGCAAATTGAGAAAAACCGTTATGTCTGGGGTTGAAATGAATTCTGTTGAAGGATATAAATATTAAAGTTACACCATCTCCAATAGCTTAAGCTTAGCTTAAGCTTTTGGAGTAGATGGTTGTTATCATGGTATCAGAGTCCAATTTCTCGAGTTCAAATCTTACCGTCACCCTAATTAAAAATTGAAAAGCAAGTGTTGGACCAAAAAAAAGGCCACATGTGAGGGGGCGTGTTGAAGGATATAAATATTAAAGTTGCACCCTCTCCAATAGCTTATGTTTAGCTTAAGCTTTTGGACTAGATGGTTGTTAATAAATTCCATATTTCAGACTGGATGAGGGGTGGTGGACATGGCAGCTCCCTGATATTAATATATAGGGTTGGAAATGAATGCCATATTTCTCAACGATTTCAGTACCAAATCCCTTCTGGAAGCAGAGGATATCATAATGCAAAAGATAACTTTCTTAAAAATAAGGTAGAATTCACTTCCTTATCTCCTAATTATTTAATAGGAGAGAGACTCTTTTGCAAGTGCTTAGAATAAATTATGGATATGTTTAGCGAGCTGCCACAAGTTTGAAGTTGAGAAATATCTAGCACGCCAAGCAGTATTTAAGAGTGTACTACATATATCATAGGTTGAAAAGCTATTTGATGGCTGGGCATGCCGGCCATAACAGATATGCTGAATGATCTTGGAAGTGAATTAGGCTCTTCTTGTCTGACAAATTTCCAACTGATGGAACTGCCTAACAAGGCTTGTGATGGTCATTTTTTCTGTCCTTTGTTGGGTGGGCCAATTTTTTATGGATCAATTGGATGAATATCTTTCTCGGTTATGAATATTTCTTAGTGGTCAAGTGTTCAAACCTTATGCCCAAGTGGTGCCAAATTGTAGTTAAGCTAATTTTTTTATTTTTTTTGATAATTAACATTGTGTTAACAAGAGCCTTCAAAAGGGGAATGCATCCCAAAGAAAGTACAAAAGGCCAAATAGGGCCTCTAAACTCCCAGAATGTCCAAAAAATCAACTAACTCCATCATGGATTTACAAATTCTCCCTAGAACCCAAAAAAAAAGAGTGCTAATAATAGAAAACTTCAATAATCCAATATGATTCTCCTTTCCTTAAAAAAATCTCCTATTTCTTTCAAGCCATAAGCACCACAAAATGCACAAAGGCGTTACCTTCCAACAATCACGGGCTTGGGCCACCACTCAACACCCTCTCCAAGCATTCGCCAAATCTCTAGAGGATCTGGGCATAGCCCATTGAACTCCAAACAAACCTAACAACATGACCCAACAATCCCGGGCCACCGGACAATGCAAAACAAGGTGATCCACTATTTCTTCGTCTCTCTTGCACATGAAGCAACAATTAAGCGCCACCTGTCTGCCCTTCCTTGGATTATCCCAAGTCAAAATCTTTCCCAACACAGAGGTCCAAGCAAAGAAAGTCACCTTAACGGGGGCCTTTGAATGCCAGATAGACTTCCATGGGAAAGAATGTACATGAATAATCGTAAGACATTTAACGAAGGATTGAACATCAAAACGTCCCTGGGAAGATGGAATCCACACCCACAAGTCAGAAGCTCCACCCTCAATCTCTTGGTAGTCAGTCCAATGATATCCTCAATCTTCCCATCCTGAAAATGCCTCGAAAAGTGCACATCCCAAGTTGTTCTCCCGTTATCAAGTCGATAGCAGTTAGCAACTGTTCAAAATCAAAAGAGAAAGAGAGAGAGCAAAAGCGTATTCTATGTGTATTCAAAAACAACTTACAAAACCTAATAAGCATATGTAGGCTTATATATGTTACAAGGTTTACATAATAACACAAACGGCCTATTAACTAAACATAATTACATAACGACCCATTATTATATATATAACTTCTAACACTCCCCCTTAAGCTGGAGAATATATATCAAATAATCCCAGCTTAGAACAGATAGTTCTTAATCAATTATGACCCAATGCTTTGGTAAACATATCAGCTAATTGATCTTCAGACTTCACGAATGGAGTAGAGATGCTCTTACGTAATATTTTTTCTCGAATAAAGTGACAATCAACTTCAATATGTTTGGTCCTCTCATGAAACACAGGATTTGATGCAATGTGAACTGCTGCTTGATTATCACAGAACAATGGAGTAGGAGCTTCAACTGTCAACCCAAGTTCTTTTAGAAAATGTTGTATCCATGTCAACTCACTAGTGGTATAGGCCATTGCCCTATACTCAGCTTCAGCACTAGATCGAGCTACCACCGTTTGCTTTTTACTTCGCCATGTAACTAGATTTCCTCTTACAAATGTGCAGTAGCCAGTAGTAGATCTCCTATTTGAAGGAGAACCGCCTAGTCGGCATCTGTAAAACCTTCCACCCTGAGATGACCATTTGGTTTATATAGTAACCCAAAACCTGGAGCTTGCTTGAGATATCGGAGAATCTGAAGAACAGCAATCCAGTGTGGCATTCTAGGGGCTTCCATGAACTGACTTACAATACTAACAGCATATGAAATATCAGGTCGAGTGATAGTGAGATAAATTAATTTCCCAACAAGGCGACGAAATCTGCCCGGGTCACTAAATAGATCACCCACATCAGTTACAAGTTTTGTATTTGAATCCATAGGAGTATCAACCGGACGACCACCTAACATACCTGTTTCTTTTAATAAGTCCAACACATACTTTCGTTGGGATAAACTTATTTTTGTCTTGGATCTAGCTACTTCAATACCCAAGAAATACCTAAGTTTACCCAAGTCTTTAGTGTGGAATCGATATTGTAGAAACAACTTCAACTTAGCAATGCCTTCAGACTCATCACCTGTGATCACAATATCATCAACATACACCACAAGAATTATGAAACCAGCTTTAGTGCGTTGGCGAAATACCGAATGGTCAGTCTGACACCTCTGAAGACCAAACTTTAATGCCGCCTCAGAGAATTTTCCAAACCAAGCCCGTGGAGATTGTTTCAAACCATATAGGGCCTTTTTAAGGCGACAAACAATGTGAAGATACTCCCCCTGAGCAACAAACCCAGGTGGTTGCTCCATATAAACCTCTTCTGCTAAGTCACCATGTAAAAAGGCATTTTTAACGTCGAACTGAAACAGAGGCCAATGTCTATTAGCAGCAAGAGAAATCAAAACACGAATAGAGGAAATCTTAGCAACAGGTGCAAACGTCTCATCATAGTCAATACCATAAGTCTGGGTATAACCTTTGGCAACAAGACGTGCTTTTAAACGCTCAACGGACCCATCCAGAAGATACTTCACAGTATATACCCAACGACAACCAATAGGTTTGACACCTGGAGGTAATGGAACAAGAGTCCACGGCCATTCATATGCAAAGCATCCATTTCATCCTGCATTGCTTTCCTCCAACCCGAATCAGACAAAGCATCCTGCACAGTCTTAGGAACAAATGTAGTAGACAACTAAGAGGAAAAACATGAGAATGATGGTGACAAGGAATTATAAGAAACATAATGAGCAATGAGATGTTTAGTAGCACACGAGCGAGGAGCTTTACGAAGTGCAATCGGCAAGGAATCAGACACAGTGGAATTTGTCGGATCCAAAGACTCTGAAGATGATGGAGGAGGCACGAGAGCAGATGGGTTTGGTCTTCGAGTGTACACCTGTAACGGGGCAGATGAAGGAACCAGAGATTGAGATTGAAGAGAAGGTGAGGGAAGAGGAACTGCAGAAGGAGGCGACTCAAGATTGATATCAAGAAGTGAATCGGTATCTGAAAAATATGGGATGGACTCAGAAAATGTGACATCCGCGTTAATAAAGTACCGTTGAGAAACAGGACTATAGCAGCGATAACCTTTATGAGAGCGAGAGTAGCCAAGAAATACACACTTTGTGGCATGTGGGTTTAGTTTATCAAAACCAGGACCAAGATTGTGGACATAACATACACATCCAAAAACCCTAGGAGGAAGAGAAAACAAGGGAGAATCAGGAAATAAAATAGAATGTGGAGGTTTGCCATTTAATACAGATGACGACATACGGTTAATAAGATGACAGGCTGTAAGAACAGCATCACCCCAAAACCGTTTAGGCATATGCATATGAAACAAAAAAGCACGAGTTACTT